TACATTCCATTATATTTTCCTTGCAATTAAAGTCAACCCCATCTCCATCATTTTGCTATATTGGTGCTGCCTGCTGGGGATAATTCATCCCTTTTTCAAAAATGTGTTTGGAAGGAAAATTTTAATGTAAATTAAGATGTTTCTTTTTCTCAATATTAGGTTTCTTTGAAATATTAAAAATTACTGATTTCTTCTTCCAAAAATTTGCATGTAGTATTGTTAGCTAACATAATGTAAACAACTGAGTTTTCCTAATTTTTACTTTAGGTATTTCTTCTTACTCAACTGATAAAATAGGAGCTTTTGGTAAGTGTACTTCAGCCATTTTATTTTACTATTTTAATGAATATAACATGATATCCCTGAATTCTTTACTCAGTTACTGCTTCTAGAGTAGACATCATTGTCTAGATCAGGGGTGTCAAACTCATGTCCCATGGGCCGGATGCGTCACGCACTGGCCACACCCACCCATTTTAGCAAAGGACGGGAATAGTGTACATGTTCTCCTGTGCGTTGCTTGGGGAATCCAAGCATGGGTTAATTTTGTCCATTAACCTAGAGACTGAGTTATGTAATTGTTGACCACACCTTCTCTGACTGAAGAGTAGTTTTTTTACTCAGTCCAGCCTAAAGAGGCGTACAAACCTTTTCTCTAGGATATCAGACAAAATTAACTTCACACCTTTGTTTCTGGAGGTTTGGATTTCTGGATTTCATGTTTGACTGAATATTTGTGGATTTGACAGGGCACGTTATCTGTTTGATCCGGCGGGCACCTATTACGCTGGGCTCGATTGTTTCCCTTGGGAGCTTCTGCGAGTTCCCTTCTGGCTCTCATGGCTGGGGGAATCTGCATGTAGCAGGACTGCAGCTGCGTACAAGAATTTATCAACTAGGTAACAATCAAATAACAATCAAAATAGGAAGTCAGAGTTTTAAAATAATACTACCTATTTACTTTCACAAGAAAAAAGTAGGCTATTACAAATCCATGCCCAGCTGCAAAATTGCAACACAAATTCTCATTGGGAAAGAAAAGGAAACTTAGTATATTAAACCTAAATTGGGCATCATATTATATGTTTTTTTTTTAAACACTTCAGTCTAATGTTGCCTTTACATAGCCTGACTAACTGCTCATTGACCTCCAAAAATATGTGGAGAAATGTATGAGGACAAATTATGCTCTATAAAGATCACTTGGAAGTGGGAGATAATTCCAATATAATCTATCAGATCCCCTGCATGGATTGCCTGTGACTATGTAGGTCAGATGGGGAAGAAACTAACTACCAAATTGCAAGAAGACAAGCAAGCAGTCATATGAGGAGATCAAAACTCAGTCATCTCACATTACAATAATCAATAATAAGCATGGCTTGGTGGGCGTGGCTTGGTGGGGGGTTTCATGTGACTGGGTGGGCATGGCCAACTTTTTAAAATTTTTAAAGCATTTTTTACTATTTATTTGCCCAAAGTGGTAATAAAAAATGCTTTAAGAAGTGAAAAAAAGGTTCAGCTGTACTATGTGATCGTGGGAACCTATTTTTTTACTTTTTAAAGCATGTTTACTACCGGTTTGGGTGAATAGGTAGTAAAAAAATCATTAAAAAGTGAAAATAAAGGTTCTCAGGGTTGACTGGCACAGCTGATTGTCATATGGAACCTTTTTGTCCACTTTTAAAAGCATTTTTTTTCCTGCCTATTCGCCCGAACCGTGGAAAAAAAGTTTCCAATGATCAGGTGGCTCACAGCTGAGCTGCGTGATCCTCGAAATCTTTTTGTTACTACTGGTTCACAGAACCAATGACAATCATCACTACCTGTTCATGCAAATTGGTGCGAATCAATAGCATTTCACCCCTACTCTGACCCCAATGACTGAGTCAGATTGGATCCTGCAACATTTTCCTGGGACATGTATATTTGCCTTAATTTGGGAAAGGCATATTTCAGGCCCCTGGCTTTAGGACAAGTGAAATATGGTAAATTTGTATATAAACTTTTTGAAAAGCTGGGTTTGGCACGTTGCTCTAAATCTAAAATATGGGATGACAACAGGAGTTGTTTATATGCAGAAGTAAGTAATGAAGAAAGTACAGATTTTTTCAAAATTTTTATTGCACTGGATGGGAAGGTCAACTAACTGACAGGACTGAGATTGAGATTGTTATCTCATTCTATTTCTTCACCCTATTGATGTAATTATTTTGCATTTCAGGTAAACGGCTTGAAGGTGGAGGTAAAATATTTTTGTTCTCTTTCATTTCTCTCTCTTATATACATACTTCATTTCAGAGTTCTATGCCCTTATGCAAGTATGTTTAAAATGTCAATCCAAGCCTAATTAAGCAATCACGGGAAATCTAAAGAGCTTGTAAAATTCAAAATAAAAAGCCTGCAATACATACACAGACACTGTGAACATCATAAGCATATTTCTGACTTCATGTTTTATATTAAGACAGAGAGCCAATTAAAATAAATTTTTGGGGAATGTAGAACTAGAGTTAACAAAGCATTAGTTCAACTTCTGACTGGCATATTCAGCTTCCTTAATTCGTTGCCTGTATGGCTATGAGTGGGCAGCAGGTTGGTTCATGTTAAGCATAAAAATTTTAGGAGAAAAATCCCAAGGCTCACTTCCTCTGGTGCTTGCATTTGTGACTGGGTCCTTTTGAAATATTAATATTAACTGTCTTCATTTTTGCATATGAACACTGACCAAAATGTGTCATGAATTCTGCTATGAAGTTGAACTTCCAGGAAATTGATAACTTCTAATAATGTAATTTTTTTAAATGATACATTTTTTTTTAAATCCCAGTTTTCCACAAAATTCAATATAAATGAAGAAATCAATATACCTTTTACGTTCACACCAATCCTAATGTCCGCAACTTTGAAAAAATATTTTTAAAAAAGAAAAAAGTTTACTAGTAATCAATAGAAACATTTTGCATTAGCTAGAAATATTTTAAATGGATAATATTCATAGTACTTCCCTAGGTAACTTGTACAAGTAGCTGCTAAAATTTAAAAGCTTCTATAGTATACCAGTGTGATTAAAATAAATTATTTTGTATCTTTCTCATTATTAGAACTGGAAAAGAAGATTCTTTTCCCCAATATGTTTTGTAGAGTTTGATTGAAAGTCTATAACTTCATTTGAAGCGTGGGATAAAGTATTCTAACAATAGCTTAGGCCTATCTGTTTTGTTTACTGTGGGCCTCATGGGATCATTCAGAATAATAAAATAGTCAAAAGAATGTATATCCATTTTCCCCTATGGGTCTTCAGTTCCCCAATAGAGATGTTGTCTGTTTGGAGGATGAGCAGACATCAAGAAAGAGTCACAATGAATTGTATAATGTTGAATGAGGGTTCATCAGAATTAAGCAGATACTTTGGATAATATTGACATGGGTTCTTTTAACAATACCCAATTTGGTGGGCTCAAGACACAAGAGATCCAACAACACAGGTCCCTAGACAAAACACAATGCAACTGCTTGCATTCTCACATACTATTATTCACTACTAACTCTTCTGCATAGTTACTGGTACTCTACTAGTGCTACTCCAACTACTACTCCTTGTGAGTACTGCTAGAGGAATCAGGAGGGTTGGCTAAATATTAAAATCAAAGCTGAATGCTGAAAACATAAAGCCTTTAATATATGGGCAGTTCCAGTGATATGCTACTCAGCTGGAATCATCAACTGGACTTTGGCTAAACTGAAAAACTTGGACTGGAAAATTCACAAACTTTTGAATATGTATCACGCTTTACACCCACAAATCGACAGGTTGTACCTGCCAAGAAAATTTTTAAAATTTTTTAAATGTATGTGAAAAGCGCTACTGAACTTAAATCAATACTCAACACAGTTCAACTGTTCAGCAGTAACATCAAAATGAACTTTAGACTTGAAAAATGTGCTATATTTTCCATGCAGCGAGGAAAAATGGAAAAAAATAGAAGGAATAGAACTACGAAATGGAAGCCTAGTGAAAGCATTAGCAAAGGATGACAGTTACAAATATCTAAGCATATTGGAAGCAGATAACATCTTGAATGGAAAAGTCAAAGAGTCAACGCAAAAGGAATACATCAGGAGGGTCTGCAAAATATTAAAATCAAAGCTGAATGCTGGAAATATAATTAATGTCATTAATACATGGGCAGTTCCAGTGATACAGGACTAATCAACTAGACTTTGGAATAATCAACTGGACTTTGGCTAAACTGGAAAACCTGGACCGGAAAACATGCAAACTCTTGAATATGTACTACGCTTTACATCCACAAAGTGACAGGTTGTACCTGCCAAGAAAAATAGGGGGCAGAGGACTATTGCAAATCCATCAAACTCTAGATGAAGAAAAAATGAAAGTTTGAATGATTATGTGAACCAAAGTACAGAAAAATTGCTGCAGACTGTGAATATGGAGAACAGTGTAAAAACAATACAAGCAAAGACAGAATATAAGGAAAAACAGCTGGGTGACAGATTGAATAGATGCAAAACCAAAGCTTTGCATGTACACCACTTGAAAAACATTGAAGGAAAATGTAATGACAACTTGACATGGACATGGCTTAAGATTGGAACCATCAAGAAAGAAACTGACGGTTTAATACTGGCTGCTCAAGCACTACAAACTAATGCCATGAATGCGAAGATACAAAAATCCATTGACAATCCAAACTGCCGGTTTTGCAACAACAAAGTTGAAACTGTTTCACATTTAATATGTGAATCAGAGGTGGGTTCTTCCCAGTACGGTATGCCATGTAGTGAATATCTGGCGTACCAGACAGGATTGGTAGGGATGTTGGCCTGGCCACGCCCCCGTACTGGTGAAAGAAACAGCTGAGGAAGGAACAGGAGCAGAGACTTCGGCTGTTGGAAGAAGAGCCCGCACTTCGTTCTCTTTGACAGCTGCCTTGCTTGCCGTGGGCAGAAATCAGGGGGAGAGAGGGAGGAGAAAGCCGAGCTTCTGCTAGGAACGGCCTTCTCCTCCCTCTCTCCCCATTATTTCTTTTTTTCGACGCTCTCACTGAGGAAGAAGGCAGGGATGCTGGCTTCCCTTACCGCTCGCCACCACCACTTCTGCGGCCGCCAGCTGCAGCTTCGCCTGCCCTGCTTAGCTGAGTAGCTGGCCAGGAAAGTGGCAAGTGGGCAAGTGCCAGCCAGTATCCCAGTATCCTTCCTCCACGAGTGTGGCCAGGAAAAATCAGGGGGAAAGAGAGGGAGGAGAAAGCCAAGCTTCTGCTAGGGATGGCCTTCTTCTCCCTCTTTCCCCCTGATTTCTCTCTGGCTGCACTCGCAGAGGAAGGAGGCAGGGATGCTGGCTGGCACTCGCTTCCCTTACCGCTCGCCACTGCCACCACTGTGGCCCACCAGCTACAGCCCTGCCTGCCCTGCTTAGCCGGTCAGGAAAGCGGCGAGAGGGGAGAGCGCTGGCCAGCATTCCTGCCTTCTTTGTTTGAAAGCTGCGGCAGCAGGGAAACAGAGGCTTCTTTACCAGCCTCCCAGCTGATCCAGCTCCCCTTACACACATGCCTCATGCTGCGGCAAGCACGATGTATGTATGTGACATGCATGCCTTCCATGGTGTGCCCAACACTTTCAGGCACCCACCAGGTCACTTGCCAAGTGGCAGAGAAATCAGGGTTCAGCAAAAGGGAAAAAAACTGATCCAGTCCCCCTTACACAGACGCCTCATGCTGCGGCAAGTGGGATGTGTGTCTTCCATGGCATGCCCAACACTCATCTGCCGAGCGGCAGACCAATTGGATTTCAGCAAAAAAAAAAAAAACATTTGAAATTAGCCTTCTCTGCCGCTCTGCTAAAAAGGTGGGAACTACAGCCAGGAGATAACAGGACGACTAACCATATTCAGGTAACCCCCAGAGTGGAAAGATGCTGAATTGGGGGAATCTGTGAGTTGGTTTGTAGGACACGGATGGCCATAATCATAGGATTTGTTGGGTGTCAGTTTTAGTTCATAGAATATATCTACAAATATAACTGGAAGTTGTGTGTGTGTGAGAGAGAGAGAGGGGGGGGGGTGAATGCAGCAAAATTGCACAAACTGATTACAAAGCTAGACACAATCAAGTTGCCAAATTAATCCACTGGTGATTATGTAAACAATATGACTTACCTGTATCCAAAAAGTCATGGGAGCACAAAGTTGAAAAAGTTACTGTAAATGACAAGGTGAAAATTTTGTGGGACTTTTGAATACAGATGGATCGTCATTTGGAACACAACAAGCCAGATATCATAGTTATAGAGGGCCAAAATGTACAATTTATTGACATCATGTACCAGAAGATGCCAGAGTCGAAGAAAAAGAATTGAAAAAAATTATGAAATACCGCGATTTGACCATAGAAACTACCTGATTATGGATGAAACATGTAACAATGATACCCATTGTCATCGGGGCACTTGGAACCATGTCCAAGAATTTTATAAGATACATCAACAAATTGCAGCTTCCTGCAATAACACCAGCGGAACTGCAAAAACCTGTGCTACTCAGAACATCGTATATTTTAAGAGGTACTTGGTTGATACCTAGGATGCAGGGGTGGGTTTCAAATTTTTTTACTACTGGTTCTGTTGGCATGGCTAGATGGGAGGCATGTGACTGAGTGGGCCTACTTGACATCACTCACGCATAAGCACATGAACATGCACAAGCAGTCATTTGCCCCCCACTTAGCCACACCCACAGAAGCACAAAAATTAGTTTTGCCAGCTGGGTGACTGGCAAAGAACCCTTAGTTTTCCCACTGCCCCAGCTCTTGGAGGAAGGAGGCAGGGATGCTGGCTGGCGCTCACCCCCTCGCCACTTTCCCAGCGAGCTAAGCAGGGCAGGCGGGACCTGGGCTGCAGCTGGCAGGGAGGGGGCAGTAACGCTCAGTCCTGCAGGGGCAGTGATGGCAAGTAGTAAGGAAAGCAAGTGCCAGCCAGCATCCCTGAGAGCCAGGGCAGCAGGGAAACCTAGGCTTCTTTGCCAGTCTCCCAGCTGATCTGTTCCATCCAACCCCCCTTCTACACACATAAACACACACAGACACACACACCAATTGCCATGGCACAAGGAGAGGAAGAGAAATCAGGGAAAGAGGAAGGAGAAGACATCTCTAGCAGCTCAGCCTTCTCCCTCTACCCATGTTTTTTCCTCCTTTCCACGTGCCATGGCAAGCGCAGTGTATGTGTGTGCATGTGTAAGGGGGGGGGGGTTAGATGTGACAGATCAACTGGGACGCTGGCAAAGAAGCCTTGGTTTCCCCACTGCTGTGCTCTCGAACAAAGGAGGCAGGGATGCTGACCGGCACTCGCTTCCCTTACCACTTGCCTTTTCTGCAGCATCCTCCTCCCCTTTGGATCACCCTGTAGCGAGGGAAGAGAAACGGAGTGGGCACTTGAGTAGGAGATTTAGGATGTCCCCTTGCCCTCCCGCACCATTGCCACCACCACCGCCACCACCACTCTCAGCTCCAGCACAGCATCTGGATTTCAACCAAGGGCCGCTCGACCACCCACCGGCCAGGCCGGACTGGGTACCAACGTCAGAAGGTAAGTGGGCATGGGGGACTGCAAGTAAGGCCATGTGGAAGGCAAGGAAGCATGGCAGAACCGCAGGGAAAGGGGCAGCTAACTAAGCTGTGACTCGCAGGTTTACCTGGCAGACAGATCAGGGATGCAGCACTTCAGACAGGCAAGCTGCAGAGCAGAGATTGGGGTGGGGTGGGGTGAGCGAGCAGTGACCAAGGAACCGGTATGGGGCGTGGCTAGGCCACCATTGCTACTGATTCAAAAAGCGGTTACATCAGATTTTTACTACCTCTTCTGGCATACCAGACCGGACCGGTAGGAACCCACTTCTGCTAGGATGCTGGCAGCAACTCGTATCAACCATTAGCACCAGTCAATAATATTTATGATGCATTTTTGAATGTGCAGTTGACTGAGTTTCATGTTTAATGAATAAAGTATATTACTACTACTACTACTGCTGCTGCTGCTGCTGCTGCTACAACAACAACACATCAAGAAATTGTAGCTTCCTGAAGTAACACTAGTGGAACTGAAAAAACTTTGCTGCTCAGAACATCATGTATTTAAGAAGATACTTGGTTGATACCTAGGACGCCAATCAACCATTAGCACGTCAATGGTATTTGTGACCCATTTTTAAATGTTCAGTTGTCTGTGTTTCATGTTTAATGAATAAAAGAGATAACAACAACAACAACACTCAACACTCATTCAGAGACCAAAAAATATAGAACTTAAAACACTCCGCAATGATACTATATACTGGCAATATTTATTACTGTGCTCAGTTAAAATAATATCCAAATTTTTATTTTTTAGATTTTTTTATCTTGCCTTTTTCATATACAATTTAAGACAATGAATATATCAATTATCCCTTTCCCTCGTATTTTACCACATTTTTTCTTCTGGGCAGGATAAGAACAGCAAACATTGATTTTAATATTTCTGTCTCTGGGAAGACAATAGGAAAAACCTTAGAAAGGAAGTTGAGGAAGAATATGTGCCATTTTCTTTAATGTCTTCAAACCTGCGTGGAAAATTTCTAACTAGTTTTGTGGTTCTAATGAAGAAAAGTGAACCTTTGGAAGAACTGGAAGAACTGGAGCTCCAGGTAAAGAATTTTCTGTTGTTAATACTGTGGTTCATTTCCTTTACTTCTCATAGTTCTACATAACTGTAGCAGCTGTATATGATCTATACAAGAGTATATTGTTATATAATTGCTGACCTCTTCAAAGATTTCTCACTGAAGAAGTCACTAGCTGAACTTCCAAAGAGTATGATGACTAGAGAAGACATGCTTTCAAGGTCCCATGAGATGACAGTATTTAAGGAAGGGGACTTGGAGCTCCACAGCTATCTCCTTCTGGGATGGACAAATAACACCTGGTGAAAAAGTCCTTGGTATAATCTGGTCCTGAGTCATGTTGGCCTTTAAAAGTAATAACTAACACCCTGAATTGTTCCCAGGAATAATTAAATGTTAGCTCATGCAGTAGTGGTGTAGGTTCGGTGAATCATACCCAGAACTGTGCACGGCATTGCATTCTGGACCAGTTCTATTTCTTAAATGGCCTTCAAGGGCACCCCCATATGGAATGCAATACAGTAATGTAATTTGGAAGTAATTAAGACATAATTAAAAATGCAAGTAGAAAAATAGAAACCACTTTGGTGGGAAGGTAACAGTGTTCCAGGTGCCTTCGGCTTTGAGTCATGCTGGCCACATGACTACATGACTTCAGAAAGCACTGGCTCTTCAGCTTAGAAATGGAGATGAACACTGCTCCTACAGTCAGAAAACGACTAGCATGTATGTGCAGGGAAACCTTTACCCTTAAGGTATAAATTACCAAGGCCTCCCAGTCCAGAATTGGCTCACAAGATGAATTTTTCCAAAGGCCCTAGAATGGGCAGAAAAAATAATTGTGAGGAACAGGAAGAAGAGCCCATAACCAAGACAAAGATATCTGAGTCTAGCGCACAACTGTAACCTGAGTAAGCATCTCAGACAAGAGTTATGAGGTCTCATGAAGATAAAAGAAAAGGAGGGGAAGCACACTGATACTTGCAAGCTTAATGTCAATTCTTCAAGGTAAACTAAAGTGATGAATTATAGTATTATTTCTGTTCCTATAACTTTATAATAAGTAGCATTAGTATGCACGACTTTCCTAGTCTGGTTACCTTTTTTGGAGTATTGGGTTTTGAGACCTAAACAACTGCCAGGTTTTTCAACTCTCAGATATCAGCTATACACATTACTGTTTCTCTCAAAAGAGCATTTGGGGGAAGCTCAAGAGCATCTGGCAGGCAGGCAGGAGGAAGTTACACTGTTGTAACTGCTGCCAATTGTCAATTACCAAAAATCACAATAGCCTTTTGGCCTAACACCAGAAAAGATTTTGAAAATAATGGCTTATGTTTTCTCTGTCACAAATGTAAAAAAGCATTTTTCCCTATGATTCTTAAGCTTTGCTTTATATTTTAAAGATTCATTTAAATTCCCAGTGGACAGTAGTATTCAGATTCAATTCTCACATTACACTAACCCATCCATATACATGTGTACCACCAAATCCATCTGTAAAATATTATTTTCTTGTCTATTTCTCCAACTCGAACCTCTAGCTGGAACAGGTTCTTGAGGACCCTGAACAATTCAGAAGGCTAAATATGGCTAAACCAGAGTTTAAGAATCTGATGGACAACTTGCAAGATGTCAAAGGAGCAATTGATACTGAACTTGCTGAGGCTACCCTCTATTTTCTTCAGGCTCTTGCTGGTAAAAATAGTTTCTTTCAAATTACAGTGGACATTAACTTTTAGCCTAAGAGCTTAAAATTAGAGGACAAATGCATCTTTACAAAATTTCCCCTTACCTTCTCTGAAGATGTTAAGAAGTTAAGAAATACAAAACATAATTAAACAAAAAAAATTAAGATGTTTTTGTACAAATACTGGTTGCCAACAGCAGTGAGGTGACACGAGGCTGGATCCAGGCAGTCGTTACTGCCTCCCTTCGGGAGGGGCACTTCCCCACCGCACTTAAAGCGGCGGTGATGAGACCCCTCCTGAAGAAACCATCTTTGGATCCAGCTGTTCTTAACAATTACCGTCCAGTCTCCAACCTCCCCTTTGTTGGGGAGGTTGTTGAGAAGGTGGTGGCCTTCCAGCTTCAACGGTCCTTGGAGGAAGCTAGTTACCTTGACCCCTTCCAGTCCGGCTTCAGACCTGGTTACAGCACAGAAACTGCTTTGGTCGCATTGACCGATGATCTCTGGAGAGCCAGGGATGGAGGCCATGCATCTATCCTGGTTATCATTGACCTCTCGGCGGCTTTCGATACCATCGACCATGGTATCCTT